GTCAAGACGTGATTTCGAAGAAAGTACAACACAAACTCAACGCATCAAGAACACACACTTAACGGACTGTGAGTAAACACCACCCAGGGGGAAACGATTCAGAATTTTGCAGTCTTTTCAAAAAATTCCATAGTCTCCCGCTCTTCAATTACCATTCCTCCTTCTACAGTGATTCATCGAAAACGCCTACGTAAACTGCTTCTTGTTCAGGGATAGTGGAATCACTACCGAATGAGCTTCATGGCTCTGCTCTTCTACCACAAGTCCATTGCTCTGGTAGCATGCCAGATCTGTCAATTGTGCTTCAGTGGATTCGAAGCCCAACCCCTCTTCGACAGCTTCCTCTACGCGCTCTACAACCTCACCAGCATAACTGCCTTTTGTCTCTTTGAAAGGCATCTCTCTCAAAGGGACCTGATGCGCCATCCGTTCCTCTACAGACCTGTAAGCTGGGTCTGTTCTGCTCTATCACAGGTGGACATTTGAAGACGGACCAACCCACTACTATCTCGACAAACGCAACGGCTTGTAGATGAATGAGGTTTTATTGAGATGAGTATTTATGCAGCACCGATGTTAAGCGGTCTGTTGGCGAACTCGAGAGTGTGTCTCAAGGCACGACGGATGTAGCAAGCCTTGTAACCCGATCGGAGTGGTAAACGCCCGCTGATGAACGTTGACTGACCGCTAACGAAACTCACTTGTCTGCCTTAGGTCTCATTTATCGGGCCCTGACAACATCCGCTGCGGCTAGGAAACCTAGACAGATAGTATTGTTGCGTATAGCTGGCTGACGATGACTAATGAATTGAGGCGAATGTTCGCATTCCAGGAACGTGCATATTTTGAGAAGAAGAAGAAGAAGAAGAAGAAGGAGGAGGAGGAGGAGGAGGAGGATCATCGAGCACTGGAATCATTATTTTATTAGCCTGAGCTTTCGGGCTCCTGCAGGAGTCCATTGTCAGAGGATAATTGCCCACACAAGCAGCAAGACGGGCCGAGAACTAATTGAAGCCTAGGCGTCGGATGACAACTCAGTTAATTGATGCATCGAGCTGGCGCCCTCATATGTTGCCTTGCGCAGGTATCTCCAGAC